ACTTCAGTATAATCTGCAGCAGCAGCTTAAGTTTTTTATTTCCAAATGGGGGATAGCACTAGGGTGAAAAGCAAGGGATAGGAGAGAGTTGCTGTGAAAGACATTGAATCACTGCCCACACAGATGGCTGAGTCAAACAGTACACAAAAAAAATCCAGTTTTCCCTGGCAAATCCTAATTCCCAACCATTGAAATCTGTGACACAACAGACTCAGAATGTTGTAGTAGTTATCTAATAGGAAGTCAATGACATTTTGTTAAATCCTTAAGTCCACATTTATAATTTATACAGATATTGCTTGCTATTTGCTGATATCCAAAACACTGTTCCTGGTGCTGTGCAAGATACAGGGTGTGAGGACTCCTTGCTTCAGGTAACAGGGCCCAAACACTGCAGAGTAAGCTGGACCAGAAAGCCCAGAAGCGCAACAAAGGAGTGTGTCTAGCTTAGTGCAGTCAGAAGGAAATACAGATTTCCAGAGTGTTTGGTTGGTGAAGATGGAAGTGTGGTGGAAGTGAATGAGTACAACGTATCAAACTAAGAGCAACATGGAAGATGGGACCAGCAGAAGCAAGGGATGCAAATAAGTTGTGTGCTGGCAGAGCAAAGAGACAAGACGGGAAGAGACAAAACTCATGCAGCTGCCACAAAATATCACTCCAGGTCAGGTTCCCTCAGGATCCTTCTTCTTTGACAAAGAGCATTATAGTTATTCACAATTAAGACTAGACTAATGAGCTGTACCTGTTAAATACAGCCAACCCATGAAAGAAAAAACTATGATGCACAGTGGTACCTGAAGGGGTAAAATGGGGTACTTAAAGGAGGTGTAAAAAAAAGGTGCTTTTGCTCCCAAGGCTGCCTTCACTTTGCAGTAGCCTCTGACTCATTAGAAGTAAAATTCAACACTCAACATTGTGCCAACTTCTGACAAAAAATACAACCTTCTGTATGTTTGATTTGGTAAGTTCTGGAAGAAAAAGTATTAGTTGAATCTGAGCACCCTTCACTCAGGACTCTTCACAATTTCAGAAGTACAAACAATAGGTAGCAGCAAATTAGTAGAAAAGGAATGTGATGTGAGTATAATGTAAGAGCTGGCTGTGTCTTAACCAGAAAGTTAGTGATAAGTATTGCTCAATGCATTAAACTTGGAGCTCAGAAGGATTTTCTGGGATCCCTATAAGGGCTTTTCAGTTTATACTTGCCTCTGTACAAAACCTAGGAAGTTTTTACTGGTGTTAATGAAGATGCAGGTAACACAGCAAAATCCTAACATGGTTTTGTTAAAGATGAAAAAAGCAGTTTGATTGTCAAAATCCTCTGTGAGCTCATGGTGTTGTTAATGTGAGAAAGCCATGGATGGCTTTAATTCAGAAATTTCAGAGAGGCAGTGAACACTGACACATCCACACACAAAGCAACATCTTTACAAACTGGTTTTCACATGGATTATATAGATCCCTACTGCAAGAACAAAACATTATCTAGGATTAACAGAAATAAATATGTCTAATTTCACTCTCAATTAAATATGTAGCTACTACTCGACATACTACTGTACAGAAAAAAATACTCTTATGAGGTTAGTGATAGCTTTATTGCAATGCATGTTGTGGATCCACAGTATTGAACTCACAAGAGCAATCCTACTTTAATCAAACATTTTTTAAAAGTCTTTCTGTAATACGTTATATTTAGCTTGAGAGACACAAAACTTTTTCCCTCGATTTTTATTTTTACATCAGTTGCACATATTTTTCAACTGTGTGCAATTTCATTACATTTGCCACTTGGCTTCCAGACTGTAGCACACTTTGTAGTTCAGAAGTATAAGGCAGAGAGTTTTCCTTGCTTGACCAGAGTGCTACTTATCTCCCTCCAACATTGATACCAAACAACAAATTTGAAAAAAATGAGTTGCCCAAACTTTGAAGGCAAGTTCGTTTTGTTTTCACTGTAATTCAAAAGATACATTTATTAGAAGAGATATATCTAATCTCAGGACAGGAAACACACTGTGCAGAAAGCACTGAGGTTTCCTTCATAGGATGAAGTGCATCAGCCCTGTAAAAGGGTGGAGAATTTCCAAGAAAATGACACATCAGAAAAGGAGGATTTAGCAAGACAGCACATATTACTATCCCAAGGAACACAATTTTCATGAATTACAGGAGTAAAGACTGAAAAGAAACCAATGATGTAACTGGAAATCCAGAACACCTGGATGACTATATATATTATTCTCTAACTCTTGATAAGTATCACTGGAGACATTTTGACACCAAGTTGCTTTGAATATCAGATAAATAGTTATTCCTACAGCCTACAGTATGTTTTTTTCATCAGCCTAACAGCTAAATTAATTGTCAAGTGGAAATGCACCATACTTTCACAAAAGACTCATAGTTTTTCATGAATGCACTAATCCCATAAGTAAATTTGGTTGGAAAAATTTGAAGATTTTTGAAAGAGTATAAAATAAAACACTATTAGGCTACACAACTTTTTTTAAGTCTTCATGAAGAGAAGACAGATTTTGGGTTGATAAAGTAACAGGAAGTTTAAAATAGTCTAAAAAGCTTAAGGACATAATCTGTTAGTGTGATGACAGTTTCTCTACAGGACATTATTGGAGAGCTATTTGATGCTCCTTAAAATAACCAGCCAACTTTTTTCAAAATTAGCTAGAATTCTCTATTATGTTTTCCAGTTCACAAATGAAACTAAACCAGAAGACTTGTAAAGCCTGGCAATAATACCTACCCTAATTTTCAGAAAAACTGAATTTCTGACATACATCTGGAAGTAGAACTGCTCCAGGCAGACCTGGAACAATGAGAGTCCTTGAATCAGCCCTGCACAGTGGCACTGCAAAAGCCACAGTGAAAGTAACTCAGCAAACCCTGACTCTTGCACTCCTTCCGATAATTGTGCCTGGGCTAAGGAGGTACTTACAGATTGTAAGTGTCCTACAGAAACACCATAAAAAGAGAGCTTGCTAGAGCAGCAAGTGAAGCACAAGTTGTATGGAGTTATCACCATCCCCTACACATAAAAGCCACACCATTGCATTTCCATCCATTTGGAGCTGGTGCTAGCTGCTTTTTCCAGATGTGGCCTAAAAAACACTGCATGGGGGCAGCCTAGTATCTTAGGATCTTACAATGGTGTGGATAAGCCTAGTAGCCACTTTATTACTCCTAATGGTTTGCCCTCCCTCCCCTCTCTCGCACCCCAGAGATGAAACTGGTGTTAGAAACCAACCAAAGGACTAAGCTTTGGGACCCAGACTTAATAGTAACAACTGTGCAGAATAAAAATAAATCCATGTTCCTGACTTTAAATACTTTATTTTAAAAATCTTTCTATCTCCCCCTAGTGGTCCCAATAGCATTTAGAAGGAATATGATAAGCATTGATCTGCAGGTATTCCCACTTCCTGAGAAAAACTAATTTGGGGGCTTCACAAAGAAGGAAGAACAAACCTAACCAAAACACCCACACACTCATAAATCAGAAAAGTCTTAAGAAGTTGCAGAAAACATTTGCCAGAACCAAGTGTTTAAGTTACAGATCCTCAAAAGCCTTTCCCAGAAATCTAAATGAAATAAAAATACCAGCCTTATATATATATGCAAATAAAGCCTTATTTGGATACTAAAGACAGCATTGTTAAAGGCAGGATACCACTATGGCTACACTAATTTTTTAATTCTTGGAATCCCTGGATCTGATCAGCTATCATTTCAGATAAATACAAAAGTCATTTTGCATTTTACTGGGAGTAGAATTGATAGGCATTTTTTAAAAAATAATTTTAGAGGTCTTACCCCTCCAAAACTCACAGAGGTTTTTGTGACAACTACAAAATAGCTGCCTTGATATACTTAATTGTACAAAGAAATAATTCTCAACACACTTCTGAGCTGCAAGCAAGTTTTACAGACTGGATTTGTCTTTTAACACTAAAAGTGCATAATTTGGGCACAGGGCACAGTACTACAGTGAAACATTAGTGCTCAGGTGCACATGTTTCCTAGCATCAAGAACTACTTTCTTCCTGAAGCTCAATCACTAAGTTCATATTCAGATGCCAAAAACACATTGTTTTTCAATGTGTTAGATATGTGTAAGTTTACTAAATACCAGACTATTTTATGAAAAATATAATAAATCTTAACTTTGTTACTAGCAGTATTTAGCCATTAGCCACAATTCCAATGAGAAAACAATCAAGGTTATCTCTAAATAGAAAGAAGCAGCAAATGCTGATTGGCCTATACAAAATAACATGGTTTTCCACTGTTCCTTCTGTTTTAAGACCTCAAATTAAATGCTGTTTTCTGCCAAAAATTATTTGCAGGAAGAAAAAGTGAAGCCTACAGGTCTTCCAAGTAACAACAATCGTCAAGAGGCAGAGCTAAAATGTTTTCCTGGTTTTCCAAGTCTCAATACTAAACTCCTCCATGAAAAGTACTTGCGTCCTAGTCCCACATACTTCCTAGGCAATAGAGATAAAAGTATAAGATAGTTCTGATTGCATCTACAGTTTCAGAGGTATTTCACTGCCATTTAAAAATCTAAAATGCAGCATGCCTGATTACACACACACACAAAGGAAGTACATATTGACACCAATATAATTAAAAACATGACCCCAGTTTTGTGAAATTGATGCTATCAGAACAATGAATCTGAGTTAAGCAGGGCAAAGTGCTGCTCTGTATTAATATTAAAATACATATATAACCTAATAATGTCATTGGCCATTATTTGCTATAATTTGTGTAGGGTTGCAGTGCATTTTGATGTATTGTCCTGAAATACTATCTGAATTGCATGCTGAGTTCACGAGAAAATATCACTGCAAACATCCTCTCAGAATCGGTAAATTAATTTTGCTTCCAATTTAATGTCTACATTACATTTTGTGAAGAAGCTGGGGTTTGTGTGTGTGTGTGATCTCGTTACCTGTGACAAATTTGGAAGATTTTACCTGTCCAACCAAGCCAGAAGACTTTTAGCTGCTCCAATCAGATCCACTACCGATGTAAGAAAATCATTTGGTAATTTGCGGCTGGTCCTTCCATCATAGTGACCACTCCTCCTCCTCCCAGTGATGAAGTTCTGCAGATTTTTGGCAGATGCATTGAGTTTGTGAGAAAGGGTTTTTAGATTTTCTGTTTCCAAACCGTAGTTCTGCATTGAAAATAAAAAAAACAAAGGAAAGAAAGTTAGCTTTACAGCTGAACATGAAGTACCGAGAACATCAAGACTGCTATTCTGCTTCAAAAGTTAACCATTCCTAATAATTAAGGTAGAAATACACCCACTCATTAGTTTTTAAATGTATGGCATGTTCTGTTTCTAAAATGCATAAAAATAGAACAAAAGAAGGGCAAAATTATGAGTGATCTTTTAGGTGGTTTTAAGTGAACTGAGAAAAATATCTCAAAATGAGGAAAAATGCCTAGTCTGAAGGATTGACTTTCAAAGCAGGGCATCACTCTCCAATCAGTTCTCTCAGTAGATCTGATGGTAAGAGATCAGTCCCTCATGTCCATACTAACACTAATTCCTAAAATCACGTTTGGCAAGAGGGCTTGCAACTAGCAGAAGAACAAAGTACGGACACAGTTTGACATCAGATTGCTTTTGTTGGTTTCAGTGAAGGAAGCACATTCATTAACTTATTTTTATTCTTGTCAGCAGTAAAGGACCACCAGAATCACAGACCAGAGAACACGCTCCTATTCTGCTCAATGTCTACGTTGCCCTATTAAGCCAAGTTTTATACTTTGCTTCAATTTAATAGACAATCAATTTAATAGACAATAGACACAGCTTGTCTGCCATCTCCTAGCCAGCCCATCTTGCCTGTAAACTGAACAAACTTCATGAGGGAGCCACTAAAACAAGAGCAGAAGATTCACTTTGGGACTTGGCTTAAAGGGGAAGTGACCACATGCTAAGGCTGCACTTTTAAAACTCCTACTGTAACTTCTGTGAATATCCATATTTTGAGCAAGGAAGACTTTGAAGGCATGTTTCTCAACTGCACAGTTTCTGCACAGGTGCTGTCCTCTGCCACCACATTCAGGTCCCGGATGGACAATTGTATGTTTGGGCAGTGGCTTTTCCACCATGTAAATATTCAACAGCAATTATACAACAGATAGAGTTAGATTATAAATAAAAAATTACAAGAAGAAAACAATAAATTTGGATGAAAAACTAAAAAGTACTTTATTATGCATCTAAGCAGCTCATAACGAATAACTTATTAAATCAGTACCAATTACAGAGATAAACATCAGATAAAAATTAATTTCTTTCTGCTGCAATTCTCCATGGTTGTTGTGGCTGAAAGAGCACAATGGAGATCGAGGACCGGGTAAGTCTGAAAAAACCTCACAAGCTTGTTCTTATTTCATCCTGCTTCTTGAGCATCTAGCTCATTTTGGCAAAATTAACAGGGGAAGAAACAAATGAAAAGTATTCTGGATGAAAGATACATAACACGAAATGACTTACACATCAGCCAAACCAAAACCAAAACCAACCAAGCAAGTGCCACAACACCCATGCAACATGGTGCTCACCTTCCCCAAACATGGGGAGGAGAGGGGAAAGGCCACGAAGCACAGGCTGCCCAGAGGGCTCCTCATAGATTGTCCTTCTTTCTCACACAGCAAACTGTCGAACTTCTTAACTCAGGGGGCTGTTACTAAGAAGCTGAGTGCAATTATCTAAACACCACGCTTGCCTTCAAACCACACCAGGTAAATTAATGCCAGGTAAATGAAGGCAGGATAGGAATCTGTAAATTAAGGCAGGGAAGGAAGCAGCCAGACCCGGGCAGCCACTCACCTCCCCAGCCCAGCAGCATGGAGGACCCAGGACTGGGGGCCTCACACTGTGGCCTAATGATCCTCCACGACCCCAAATTATTTCACTCCCTTTTCTTTCTCCGTGCCCCACTATGTCACCTTGTCTGTATCTCAGCCACTCAGAAAGGGAGGTGTTGGCTACCAACCCGTGCTGGTGTGCTGTGCCCACCACAGCAGGAACGTGCAGGCCTCTAGTCCCACCACAAAGTAGAGCACCAGCAAAAAGAATCATAGAATCAAAAAATGGTTTGGATTGAAAGGAACCTTAAAGATCACCTACTTCCAACTCTGCTTTATGGGCAGGGACACCTCCCACTAGTCCAGGTTACTCAAAGCCCCATGTAATATGGAACACTGTGGACCAAGCAAAACAATACCCAGAAATTTATTCTACAACGAGAAAATTTGGTGCATTCATGTATAAGCTGCTTTAGAAAAACAGCTCGTATAAAAGCTTAGTGGCCTGTTAACATCTCAAATGACGGCCACCTACAGACACACAATTTTTCAGATGTCTTTTTCCACCATCAGATATGTGGAAAGGAAGAGACAATGTTGACAGATACAAAGTCTACTTTCACATAAATCCATCAAATGTGTGCGTGTTCTTTAACATAAAAACTGGGACAAATGTAACACTGCAATGACAAATGTAAGCTACATATAAAATCCAGTGCTACATGAGGAATTGCACTGATTTCAGCAAAGCCTTCACCTGTGCTATGAGGCACATAAAGCCAGGGATGGAAAATACAGAGATTATTTTCAGGCAGCATATATTTTTGGGCAGCTGTGTTTATTGAAGCCTTCAAGTAGAAGGATCCTAAAACGGCAGCCAAGCTAACAGAATCCCCACACTGTTGATCACTAATATTTCTGGGCCACATTAAAAATGAACAGTTTTGGATATTCTAATATCTGAAAAAAGCTTACTAGAATAATAACTGCCAAGTTTAATCATACTTTATAAGTGATAATATACTATTAACAATATGGTTTTCTTAGAAATGCATTGCATTTATTTTCAAGCAATGTAAGAAGATAATTGCAGGCAGAGGAGACAATTCTTTGCTTTCCCCTACTTTGCATTTAGCCAGCCCTAACACACGTTACGCTTTCATTAGCCAAACCAAATTTAGTCACTGAAAGAACCACAAAGAAATCTCTGCATGCTTGTAGAGATTACAAGAAGTGAAGCAAGTCTACGCATCTGCTTCCTCAACGAGAGGCCACGCAGCAAGAGTCTCTTCAGAGACACCCTGCCTCAACAGAAACAGCTATAATAGAGTCTCTTCTGGCAATCACAAAATAAGGACTTGATGAAGCTAAGCTACACGGAGTAATAGCTTGTCAGCAGGTGTTCGAACTAAAGGTGGTGGAAGCTATTAATAGACATTTTACCTGCTAATTACATTTCTGTGGGTTCAAATGACAGTGTAAGTGATGAATTGTAGCTCTTTTCTTCACATGCTGACAAGTAGCAGCTCTAATCACCACTGATGAGTTTTTCTACTTTTTTTTGTTTGTTTTGGGGAGCCAGCCTATTCCCTCAGCCAGCCTATCCTTACACCAGTACCACAAAGTAGGACAAGAGTTCAGTAACCAAACTTTGGAAGTAAAACAAACTATTTTTTTATTAGTTTGATCAATGTTCATTGGTTGTTCATTCCTCCCTGCAATTAAAAAACAAAACAAGACAAAAGAAAAGCAATATAAAATGAGAGCTCATTTCACCTCTTTCCTGTGTTACATTCACTTAACTCTTACTAGCAGGGAAGTGCACTTTACACTGCTAGCACAGGTTAAAAGTAAATTATTCCTAACTCATATAGTGCTAATTATTTCTGCTGGCTCATACAGGGTGTCAAGGATCTGCTGAGACCTTTAGTTCTGAGTGTTTTTATGCTGCCTGTTTCAAGTGCAAAGACATCTCAGCTAACTAAAAACCCAAGCTCAGGTACCAAAAGAAGTCCATATCTAAACACACCACAATATGCAATAAAGATGTAGCCACAGTCCCATTAACAAATCCAGAAATCCTCCAGAACAGAAGTCCTGATCACAACTTGTATGCGACCACGACTGCCCATACATCTCTAAGCACAAAGGTCACATTAAGTTCAGGGACATGATTTGACTCCTATGAACAATTCAAGATGGAGAGATCAGCATATGGCTCCTCTGCCTACATCCCTAAATAACTGTTTATTCTCTTGCAGCCCTGAAAGCTCCTTGAAACAATGTGAAGCAAAAGGGATGCAGTGACCAGTGCTAACTCCTACTGAAGAGACACCAGACAGAAACTTAAAATACTACTGGAACACTGATGCTTGGGGGCAAGAGGAAAATAAAAACAGTTTCTCTGGGCAGGCAGAACAGATAGCAGAGCAATCCATTTTTGCTGCCCCTCTGTAGAAGGCAACCACAACTGCATAAACTACAGAAGGTAAAGGTTTTTTGGGTGGTTTTTTGCAAGTATTTGTTGCCACACACACACATTTTTTTTTTTTAAGAAGAAAAAAAATGCAACCTTTTGAAAAGACAAAAATTATAGCCTATATAGCTACACTGTGTAATAAATTATGTGCATTGCATAAGCAATTATTTGTCAAGAAAATGTTAACTTCTTAGTTATGCCTGTTATCACTCAGTAATATGGGTAACAGCTTACAAGGATGAAATTCCAAGTTTTCACTTTAATGTAACATTTTTAAAAGTCTTTTTTCATTTACTCACATACTGAATGCAGGAGTTTTAGGTAAGAATAGCAGATGACTGCTAAAAAATGGACAGAACCTCAGGCAAGCTTAATTTTGCTCCTCCCTATTTTTTTTTTCATCTTACCAATTTAATTCTGCAGCATCATTTATGCACATAATACTTATTGCTTTTAAACAAGCTACCCAGAAATAGTAAAGTACATAGAGTCCTCAGTTCTCCAGAAGCCTGTGTAAGTTTTCAAATGAATAATCAAAGCAGCTTCACATGGATACCACATCATGCAGCAGCCATTTCAAAACCACGCCTCAAAAATCGGAGCAGCCAAAAATTTGCCAAGAAAAATTCCAACCTTTGTCTCCGAAGTTGTTTTTAAAAATGAACAAAATGCATCTGAGCTTAATTCTCCAGAACACTTGGCTGAGCACATCCCACAAAGTACAAGGCAGATAGCTTGCCAGCCGAAAGTTGCAAGCAACTGAGAACACAGCTTGTCATATGGAAGGTGCCTTATGTAACTTTATACCTCATCAGATCTGCCTACAACATATATTTCTAACAGCCCCTATTCTTCCAGCATCACGAAATGCC